GAGATATTGTAGCGGTTGAACTGCTCATTAGTTTGTTATTTTCGAACATATGAAACCAAAAACCAAATTAACGTTTGAGATATTTTATCATGTACGTACAAAAGTACATGTATATAGGTGTACATATATATACATATATATACACATATGTATATATACATATGTGTATATATATACACATATTATGTATGCGTGTGCCTACACAGCATCTGCAGGTGGAAAACGCGCTTCCGCAATGCTCCAGTGCTATGCCGAACAAGCTCAACAATGGCAGTCGCGAACAAAAGAAGAATGAGCGGACACATAACTTGGTAAATTACTTTGACTTTTGAAGAACATATTTGTCTGCTCAGGTTACACGCTCGCAGGCTTGCTAGAACACGAGGATGAAAGGCTGTTGAAAAAGAAAAAGACAACGATGTATTAAGCCAACTATACTTTTACTAGGGTATGTGAAAATTTTCTGCTGCAAGGAAAAACCATACACAATGAACAAAGGTCGGGAGAAAAAAGCTAATAAAAACGCGCATATGAGTGCATATTCATTTCAAAACTTTTAATCGATTTACCCCCGCATCCCTTCTCCTCGGCATTCTCCTTCCACGGAAAGAAAAGTTAACAGGAAAGTAACCTGGTGGGAAGCAAATGCCAACAGGAACCACCTACTGGCAAGGATGTTGATGGCTTCCATTTCGAGAGTTGCTCACAAACAAGCTTATGGCGGATTTGTCTCCCTGTCAAATACCAGCCAATTTAACACGAAACGAATGAACAAATCACAGAGAAACTTTCGACGGGATCAAATCCTCGATCCGCTGCATAACTGTGCCGCTTTCCACTGCACCATGCCCGCCGTAGGCATGTATATTACGTACTGTGCATGGGTAGAGGTACATTTCTGCTTGAACTCACAGATAAATCAGTATCTGCAAAATCAGCTTACCACTAACAATAAAAGAAGTTCAGCAGTAGATTTCAAGCAACTTTTAAAGAGAAGCGGTTGGAAGAAAAGCACAGATCTCAGGATTACTTTGCGGACTTAGGATAGAAAACTCGTTCCCCGAACACTCACATTCGACAATCGCGCTAGACTCTGTCCTCGAATAATACAATTAAATAGGGATTTTGACTCACTTGCTCAGACCAATATTTACTTTCAGTATTTACTTCCATGCAAGTCCGTATTTCTGAAAAAGCTTATGAAGGAACCTGCGCTTTAGACTACAGCTTTTGTGTGTCAAAAATACCGAATGAGTCCTCGGTCTACATGACTTGACGAAAGTGCTATCGCCCTGCAGATCCGACGCAAGGGACGCCAGCTGAAGGAAGCAGTGAAGATGTGAATGTAAGTGCAAAGTGCCAGCACATTTCCGGGAAAGTATCTAACGAACTTCGAAAGTGAGTCCGGTTTTATTCCGGTTAATTTTATGTCAGAGTGTAGCAAAATTGAAGATTGTGAGATTTACTTAGCAACCTAACTGCGTCCACAGCAAACCAGCGAACTATCTGAAAACCAGCAGGAAATCCTTTTTTGAAATAAAATGGATGGAGACTAATGTTAGACTAAGGAATTTGGTTTCATAACATGAAACCAAAACCGAAATAATTCAACTTTATATTTCGCAAAATGCCAATAATTAAAGATAAACGACTCTCAAAAAGCTGTTTTCCAGAGAAATCTTTTTTCGGGCGTAATGGTCATTCGAACAATCGATGTAATTCTGATGAAAATTCAAGAATATACAGTTCTTTTCCCGAAAACGGTAACAAGAATATAGGCCAAATTCCGTTGTCTGATACTGTCTATTTCAAAACCGCATTCGACTCGATGAAACATACTAAAATCTCCCTCCTCTCAAATCAAGGAATCGTTCCACAGTAAAATTGAATTACTGAAAACACTCTAACAAACAGTACACCGATAATATCCTTTTTAATAGGTCAATAAAGAAGAAATTGGTAGCGGCGTGACGCAATGCGGTATTTGTTCCCCAAAAGTAATTGTCATAAGGATCCTGTGTTGGTAAAAAAGTATTCCTAATGCTTAT